ATGTTAGTTCATTTTGATACAAGTGCTAAAATACTCTGATAGAATTGTGATTGTGGGCAAAAAAGAAAATCACATTTTTTGTCTGGGTCATTAGAATTAAAGAATATGTAAGTCTAAATGTGTTGGTAGAATGAACAAATTCTGGACATGTCTTCTGTTCTCCTTTCCATGATTTGCACAAAGTAGCTTAACTGTTTATGACCATTTTGGTGTGCTTAGAAACATCTTAATATTCACGGAGACCTACCATGGCAGATTGCAAACTCCAGTAGGCACTTTAAAAAAAAACTTTTTATCTGCAACAATTTGAGATTTACAGAATTATTGTGAAGATAGCACAGAGTTCCCCTATACCCTGCATTCAGTTTCCCCTGTTGTTAACATCTTACACTAGCATAGCATACATTCAACTAATGTTCAACAGTTTATTACAACTAATGAACGGATAGTGATACATTATTTTTCACTAAAGACCATACTTTATTCAGATTTCTTTAATTTTTACCTATTGCCCTTTTTCTATCCCAGGATCCCATCCAAGATACTTCATTACATTTAGTCTTCAGGTCTCCTTAGTCTCCTGTGGGCTGCAACCATTTCTCAGACTTTCATTGTTTTTTAATGAACTTAACAATTGGGAGGAGTACTAGTCAGGTATTTTGCAGTATATTCCTCAATTGGAATTCATCTAATGTTTTTCTCATGATTAATCTGGGGTAATGGTTTTTTGGGAGGAAGATGACAGAGGTGAAGGGCCATCTTTATCACCATAGCAACGGTGAATACTATCAACATGATTTATCACCGGTAACGTTGACCTTGATCGCCTAGCTCAGGCAGTGATTGCCAGACATCTCCACTGTACAGCTACTCTTTCCTCCCCTTTCCATACTATACATAGCATTTGGAAGGAAGTCAGTATGCTCAGCCCACACTTAAGGAGTAGGGAGTTATACTACTCCCTACTTTATGTAGATACATAAATTATTTGGCCTAATAGCTATTTTTAACTTTAAAAAGCTAGGAGAATTCCACAAGGCAAAGGGTGTTGTAAACAGGGAAGAGGAAAATGATGAGTAAATTCGTACGAGGAAGCCAAGAACTAAGGAAATGAAGGTAATGATTGCAGCCAAAGTAAGAGATAGGTTCACACTCCTCAAGAGGGGTGGAGACTCATGACTACAGACAAAGTCCATTTGACTCTTTCCTGCCCACCTAGTTCCTCTGGAAAAGTGAAGCATTCGAACATTCAGAAACTGTAATGAAGTCCATCATCCTTTTACTTTTCTCCTGGGATCACCCCATGAATCTAACGTTTCCTCCACTGCCAGTGTCTGTCCTACAATAAGATTCTGGTCCCCAACATGCATAGAATGGTTTCCAGGCAGAATTCAATGCCTTCTCTTGGAAGTGGATACGAGTAGATATGTAATGGGAAGAAGGGTTATCTCTTATTTAAAGGAGTAAAATGAGGTAGAGATTAAGTCATTTACTAAAGGTCTTTGTATAATAATTTATGATTTCCATCTTCACCATTCAACTATTAATAAAAGTACTCTCTTGAAATTCACCAAAGAGTACCTGTCAAAGGCCATGGTCCTTTCTCCTTCCTTATTCTCCTGATCTTTCTCTTGCATTTGTCTTTGTTAACTACCCTTTAGTATTGGATGGCTATTTCTGTGTAACAAACCACCTCAAAACTCAATGGCTTAATAAAGCAATTGTTTATTACCGCTCATAATCTGCAGGGTAGCTGCAGTTTTTCTAGGCTGGGTTCAGTCAGGTGGCTCTGCTTGTAAGGAAGACCTGCCAGCTAGCTGGGAGTCACTGGTCTGTGTCTGTCACCCTTCCCAGCTGGCTGTGGCAAGTTTTTACCATGGCAATGGCAGAAGTTCCGGAGAACAAGTTGTAACATGTGCCCTCTCTTAAGAACTAGGCTTGGAATTGGCACCCTGTCATATCTGTCCACATGCCATTAGTCAAAGCAAGTCACATGGGCAAGGGACAGAAAATACACTGTGTCCTCAGTGAGGCCATAGTGAGCGTGTGGATGAAGGATAAGGAAGCATTGGGGCCAGTAATGCAGTAATGCAATCTATTATGTCCTTGCTTCTTTAAACAGTCTCTTCTTTTTTTTTTTTAACACAATACTACCTTGATCTTCTCTCCTTTTATTATTTCTTTAATGCTTCCTTCTTCAGCCTCAGTGCTATGTGTGGACTTTACCTAAGGCTCAGCCTTTCCGTCCTGCTTTTCTCCGTGTGTGTGCTCTTCCTGAGAATGCGCATCCATCCAGGCTCTGACTTGCTGACGCCCTGACGATCATTTCCAGTTAACCAGTAGGCATCTCCATATTTCCACTTGGAATTGTCCAAACTCATGATCGTTGGTCCCATGCTCCATTTAAATCAATGTTTCTTTCCGATACAAAGCTGTATGTCTGAAAAAGACTTGGGCCTTTGGATCATTGCTTTGATGTGAATGCAAACACAAAAACAAAAACAGCCTCAATGAAAACTTACCTAAGCTAACAGGAATAGGACATTTCTAAAAATAAAAACGGAACATGTCTGAAGGAAACCAGTAATGATAAGAACCATTTCCTGTGAGAAATGGTTAAAGTCGCTAATAACTTTTTTTTTAATCTAGAGATTATATTGGGTGTCATGACCACCATTGAGTTTAGATAGTTGAAAGTGTGTGGTGTAGGAGGAATACATGAAGTTTTTTTTCTATACAGCAGAACTATTACCATTGTGTGGATTTGGGGTAGAAAAATTTTATTTATTTTTAATTTTTTTATTTTTAATTATTATGGGTACACAATATTTGTATGTCTTTATAGGTACATGTGATGTTTTGATGCAGGCATACAATTTGTATTAATCAAATCAGGGTAATTGGGGTATCCATCACCTCAGGTATTTATCATTTCTTTGTGTTAGGAACATACCAATTCTACTCTTTTAGTTATTTTAAAGTATACCCTAACTTATTGTTGATTATAGTCACTTTATTGTGCTATCAAATGTTGTTCATTCAATCTAACTGTCTAACTATATTTTTGCAGCCATTAACCATCCGTATCACTTTATCCCTCTCTCCTTGCTACCCTTCCCAGCCTCTGGTAACCATCATTCTACTCTCTCTGTCTGAATGAGATCAATTGTTTTTATTATATAGCTCCTACCTAAGTGAGAACATGCAAGATTTGTCCTTCTGTGCTGGGCTTATTTCACTTATCATAATGTTCTCCAGTTCCATCCTTGTTGTTGCAAATGGCAGGATTTCATTCTTTTTTGTGGCTATATAATATTCCATAGTGTATATGTACCACAGTTTATCTATCCATTCATCGACTGAGGGACACTTAAGTTGATTTAAATCTTGGCTATTGTAAATAGTGCTGCAATAAATGTGGGAATGTAGATATCTTTTTGATATGCTAAATTCCCCTACTTTGGATATATACCCAGCAGTGGGATTGCTGGTCATATGGTAGTTCTATATTTAGTTTTTTGAGGAACCGCCATACTGTTCTCTGTAGTGGTTGCACTAATTTACATTCTCATGGGGTAGGAAAAATTTAGCTTGATATTAGGAAATAATTTTTAGTAAGAGGAACCACACAGAAAGAGAATGAGCTGTATATCTTTATTTTTCATTTGTGTCATTCCTTTGTCCTGAAAAATCTTGCTTCCACTTTTCCCAATCATCCATCAAATTCTGTCCACTCCTCAGACTTATCCCAAATCTTCATCCCTTCATAAACTTTTCCCTGATTACTCAAATGTTATTGATCCCTCTCAACTCATGTTGGTAATTTCCCACCCCTACTAAATTAAGGCCTCTTTGGAAGTAGAAATATGATATTCTAATTTATAACTTCGAGCATGAAACACAACACTGAGCTCATAACATGCATTCAATAAATTATTACTGGCTTACTGTTCGATCACAGATTTTCTTATTTCTAATCTGCAGTCCTTAGGCTTGGTTAGAATTTGAACCAGATTGGAATGCTCAAGAATTTGATCATTTCACACTGATTTAGCTTCTGATTTTATTAAAATCCTGAAGGGAGAAATAGATTTTCCATTACTTGCCATCCAAGCTTGTATTTTCCTACTCAGCAAAGGAAAACACTGAATTTAGAAACCTTTTAAGATCTTAGATTTATAACTCAGATAATTTTCTTAGTGAAATAGAGGAGTGAATATGCCAACATTTCTTCATGTTTGAAAATTATTTAAAACCACAATCCAGTGGTGAATGGGGATACAGGATGTGGAGGAAAACACACAACACCAGAGGGCTGCCACTCTAGTTTGTATTCAGCTCTGCCTGTTGTCATAGTTACTGATGTACTCAAAGCGATTTCCCTCCCAAATCACACTCTGTAAACCTTCAATGAAAATAAGCTATTCTTCCTGCCTTATTATTCCCTATCAATGAATTGAAGCTAAAAAATAACATTAATTGCATGAATGTTTTTACATTTTTAGCAAGACTTTAAACATACAAAAGAAACAAAAGAGGTTTAATCAAAATAAATACCTCCGATTGAGGTCTCACCTCATTTGTTCAGCAATGATTCATTGAACACCTTGGTACCGGGACCGTAATTATGATTATGGTCCGGTCCCCACCCTCAAGGACATCAGAGCTCTGCGAGGAAGAGGAATGAGTCAGGGATGGTTTCAACAAAATGCAATCAGTGCTGTGGTGGAAGTCATGGGAAAACAGAAGAGCAGCATCTCATTAAGTTTGGGGTGTTAGTGAGGTCAGATCAAAGGGTGGAGTCCATCCTGCAAGTCTTGAAGCATTGTTCCTGTGAAGTTTAGGAAATGTATTTTTAGTCCTTCTGGGCACAGGACGCCAGTGTGACCCTGCAGGCTGGACTCATAGAGTGGTGGCATGCAGAGGCCAGCGCGGTTGCACACAATGTGCTATCCCATGCTAATATTCACACACAGCTCTCCTTTCTGCTCTGGCCACAGGAACTCCTTCACAGACATCCTCCGTGCCATATTGCTGTCATTGGAAGTCCTTATTGAAGACCCAGAGCTTCAGATAAATGGCTTCATTTTAATTATAGACTGGAGTAATTTTTCCTTCAAACAAGCCTCCAAACTGACACCTTCAATACTTAAACTGGCCATCGAAGGGCTGCAGGTATGTTCAATGATTGTATAATACAAGACTGCGTGAAACAGTGTACTTTCTTCTTATTGTTGCAATCAAAGTAATATTTATTTTTCAGAATGGGAAAAGGAAACTGGAATAAAATTCATCTGTGAGTACTCTGCCTTTTTACCTCAGCCTGAGTTTAGATGTTTGTCTTTTTTTAATTAGCTTTCATTTTCATTAATAACTCCAAATTACTGTTATCACAGGCACAAATTACCTACTGTAGATATAATGAACAAAGCTCAGAGATGTTTGGCTTAATCCATCTGAGAGCTCACAAAAATTAAAACTAAGAAACATCTGCTTTATGAGCATGTCCTATGTAGAGGTGGCATGGGGCTTTCCAGGGTTTCCAGAAGCATTTCTGCGCCCAGAAATGCACCCTGTGGATCATGGCTTTCCAGAGTGTAATGTGCTTAAGTGCATCATTTTGGTGCAAACAAAGGAAGCAGATAAAAGTACCTCCTGTTTGTGTGAGCAGTTGTCAGGATTTTGGAGAAGGGGTTTTTGTGCTACATGAAGGTTAGCATGGTCAATCTCTAGGGTTCCTTCTACTTTGTAAGGGTCGATGATTCTATAAATGTAACTAACTCAGAGAGACCATGCTGCTTAGCTTCCTGGTGACACGGTGTTACAGTACAAAATTAAGGGCATAGGTTGGTGAGATTCAGAATCAGCATAAATGAAACTCATGTCCCTTCATAATTTCATTGAAAGATTGAATCAATGGAGTGGCCCTCTCTCCCAATAGATGGAAGTTATATGCAGCTATGTACGCAGCAAAATATGGATATTGGATAATTCTCAGATCAAGCAGTCATAACACGTGTTCCTCAAAGGGCAAGACTAGGAACCATTTCAATCACCCATCATACTTTAGTGTGGTAATTGTTGGGTTTGTTTCTTAAACTATGGTTTATTCATATTTGGACCTCAACAAATATTTCACACCTAGTGGACCTCTGATAAACATGTGTCTATTGACTGGATCTTATTTTATTAGATGATTTCCCATTTTTCAGAGGAGGAGAAGTAGACAGGCATTTCAGAAGAGGAACAGCAAGTGTACATTGTTCCAGGAAGGCCACATTGTCCTGGGTGGCTTCATCGTGCAGTGTATTTGGGGTACATTTGTAAAGTTGTGTTTGCATGAACAGACCACACGGAGCATCCTGCCTTGCCTTAATATCCCAATCGTAGACTTCTATGTACTTTTCTGTCAGTCACTTCCTTTCAGCTCTAACTCCTTTTCTCCAGCCTCCCCTCATCTAAGCCCCTGAACATCTCCTCTCTCTCTCTCCTTAAAGCTTTTATCAAACAGAGTTTTAAAGTAAGCTTCAAGATTTATTTCATGCCCTATAATTATGCTGACTATATTTCTAGGAATTTCTGTACAAGCTTCATGTAATCTTATCTTCTTTAAAAAAAGATAATTCGTTACATGTGTAAGTAGTTGTGATTCAAGTTCTAGGCCTTTATAAGATTTTTTTCATAAATCAGGAAGGACAATGTCCTTTGTCCAACCCCGTGTCCCAATTTTTCTTCCTGACAATGTGTGGATTACATAATATGTCCCTTGTCAACCTCACTAGGCTGATGTGGGTCTTATGGAGGTACGCATGGCGAGTGTGTTTTAAAAGGTAAGGCTATACATAAATGCAAGCTATTCTTGGGAGAAATACTAGAGGACCTTTTGTGGGGCAAGGTAGGTCCCATCTGGGTCTTTCCTTATCATGTGCCAGGGTGCACGATGAATCCCACAGTGTCCTATAGCTCTGGTTAAGGAATAGCCCTCCTACTGGGGAAGGAAGCCCATGGTCCCAGGGAAGCTGAGCTGGGGTGCAGCTCTTCCATCTAGGATGCCCCATCCCTAGATGCCCCCATCCGTTGCTTTTGGTTTGTCTTGGCTGTGCTGACGAAGCTCTCGAGGTTACTACAGACATGTCTGCTCTTGCCTTACAGTGGGTAGCCTGCTCTGGCCAGCCACTGGCAGCTTCGCACTCCAGGCTGTCCTCTTTCTGGCTTTGGGGACATTTAGATGCCGTAATCAACCTACCGCTGGCTCTCCCAGTGACCTTTCTTCATGGCAGAGATTGTTGGCTCCATCTCCAGGTGGCCATTAAATCTTCTGATGTCTTGAAAAAGCCATAATTGCCACTAAGCAGGGTTCATCCCTTCATGGTCACGAGTGTTGGGCAAGGAAGGTCCCATACAAGTCTCCATTGTTTAGCCATGAAGGTTCAAGATAAATTCCACAACACCACAGGCAGACTTCAGTAGAGAATGGAAAAGCTACACAAAGCCAGTATCAGTGAGAGAAGAAAAGCTACTCTCTTCCTTCCTCCCATGCACCCTGAGAGAGGCTTGAAGAGGCCAGGGTGTCTGCTGGACCTGTGGGAGACCACAGGGAAGGGAAATCTATGTTCCAGTGCAGTGAACTTGCTCTCTCTGCTGTCCTGCCTTTTGCAGGGTAGGTGAGAGATAGTGGCCTTGTCAGGGGGAATAATAGACCAATTTGGTGCGAGGCCATCTGGTTTGGAGTTCTCAGCTACTTATAGGATTTGTCTAGGATTACCTACTCCTGAACCCCTGGAGAATTTGGGGCCTTAGGGTATGAAAGCCTCCTTCCCCCCAACACAGAGAGGTAATACAATTCCTGCTAAGAGAAGGTGGTGGGAGCTATCCCAGCTAGTTCAAGCAGTGAGGATTTAAGGTCAGTTTTGGTCAATCCTGTACCTTCCATCACATCCTGGTTCCAGACCCCCGAGCTTTAGTCCTATCACCTTGGTTCTTAGTTCTATAAAGACAGTCGTTCAAGGAGACCTTGGATTACTGACTGTTGCAGGCTGGGTTCTCTGCAGGGCAGACTCTGACACAGAGACGAACATGCAGGAGATCTACTGGGGGAGTGATCTTCAGACTGGCACAGGGAAAAGGGAACCTATGGAAGGAAGTTCAGCAGGAGAAGTTAAGCTAGGATTCCGTCATTTCCAACGAAGGCCTCAGGCCTTCTGAAGCCAGCTGACCCTTAGGAGTAATTCCCAAGTGGGGTCAAAGGTCTGGGCCTTTACGTTCCCACATTGTTCTTCTCTGTGTGCTGGCTGTCCTGAGAAGGGGCTGTCAACTTGGACAACATTCTTTTCAGCCTGCAGCCCCCAAGGGAGCTGTTATCTGAAGACTTTTTCCTGGCAGTATCCGCAGGGGCTGGGCAGTGTATCAGAGCATCTGCAGTAAGCAAAAGATGTTTGGAATTTCCTGCAATGTAATATCAAGGGGTTTTCCTTATTCTGAATCAGGATAAATAACTGCTTTTTCTTGGTTATGCACATTCCCAATTAACCCCAAAGGGGAGGTGACACCAGATAATGTAGAGCTGGTGGGCACTGGTCGAGGAACATGTGATTTGGGTCTACAAGTTATATTTCTGTGCTTTAAAAAGTAATTATACTGCCTCTGACAACAATCATCAAAAAACTGGCATGCACGCAGAACTTTGATCATGGGCTGAATTAATGAGTTATTATAATAATTACTCTTAAAGGGATCGTCACATTTTTACATCAAAAGTTACCCTGTATCAGCCGGTCATGAAATGCTAATAGCATATGTACCATATATTCCTCCCTTTAGGGCAACACTTTGAGGAAATGTCACTGTTCAGAATGTTAAGTTGTCCCGGTTACATAAGTATTCCATGAATACTAGTTCAGAAGACTTTAGTTAAAATACTGATTTTGAGAATACTTGGAAGTCATTTACTTTCCCTGAGCCATTTGATTTTTGAATGTGGTCAATAATGTCTAAAAGAGTCATTGTTATCTGTTCATTACAATTTGTTTAAATTATAATCAAACGTAAAGGAATATTTATGCCACCATTTTAATACAGCTCAGCATTATTCACAGTTTCTGACAGACTGAAGCACATGCTGAAGTCCTGCTCTTGAACTTTGTAACATGTCCAAAATCAATTTTTGGAATTACTTCTTGTAAATCACTGAGGCCCAACTATTACAACCAACACACGATGTTTATCAATGTTCAGCCAACCAGACACTTAAGAGCTTACTGTGCTGAAGTGTTTTGCTCAGAAAAAACTACAACCTTGTGTCCTGTAGACTATTTACGAAATATTTGATTCTTTTAAGGGCCCAGATATTTGCTTGGGTTTAGAGAAGCCTGTTTTTCACTCATCAGAGGAGATGTAGAAAGCGGTCTCTCTCTTTTTATTTCCCCCCTCGTTTCCATGTGCATGACATTACTCTCCAGCCAATCTGCACACTTCATCAGTTCATTAATTCCTCATTCGAGGTTTATTGCATGACCTTTTTTTCTGTCAAAGATTTTTTTTATAATATTTATATCAACTTGGATTCAAATTCTCCCAACAGCTTTGAGGCACTCCAGTGGAAAAGTAGGTTCCATTGCTTTTTCTAGTCTTTGTTTTTCCTTAACTCTAATGATGATTTTCCAACTCTTAACCCTGGTGGGAAGAAATCTGGAGCAATGCTCAGAGGATTGGCCAACTGCAAATTGTCTACTTCCTTAGCATCTCTTTTTGTTACACCCTTTCAGGCCTTGGCTCATTCTCTCTGTTTCCCTTCCCACAGCCTACCTCTTCACCCCCTTTGCCAAAATATGTGATGTATTCATCCACTCTTGAAGAATCCAAAGTGCCATATTTACTCAAAAGATTAGAGCACTTAAAAGTCTGTCACATCTGTGGGTAATGTGACAGTTTCTAAATGCAAATGAATAGATCATGCTGTGATTAGAAATTTGGAGGGGCAGGTTGGGCAGGTGCATTTCAAGTGAGTGGTGGTTTCACACTGGCTCTACAGTCCATGACTCAGATGTGCAGACTACTGACTCAGGATGTATTCATCCTGCATAAAACATGGGTCAAGGCGGTCTTCTAAACAGGGGTACAGCAGAGAACGAACATTCTAAGGCCTTCCTTCTTAAAATGTCCAGAAACCAGCAATA